CCGGACGCTTTGAACCTTTATAGTTACGTACAATCCGGTGACCATCCCAATGATGTCCATCTGGAATTATTTCACCTTTAGGGGTCAATTTGAGATCTGGAAATACGGGCGCTTCGGGTGCATCAGGCTCGACATCGCTGTCGGCTGGTAGAGGCGTACCTGGCTCGTATTCATACTCATCTTGTGGCGGATGCAAACTGGACTCAAGAGGCACAGCTTTGGGTGTCTGCGGAATGACCTGGTCCTCGAGGCGATCGGCTTTGGGTGCTTTCGAGTCAATCAGAGCTTTCAAAGGAAAGATGAAACCCTCGGATGGCAATTCCAACCTCTTTGTTCTTTGGATTGTCAGTGCACCCCAGTTGACATGATAATCTGCGGCTTCCAACTTGGCAACTAAGTATTCACCCTTCCAATCATGACCTGGTTGGATGTAATACCCAAGGAAAATTCCTTCATTTGCTGTTGGGGAGAGCTTACCTGATGTGTTATCCAACCTCTTGGGGTTATTCCAGAATAACACTTTGGCACCAAATGGAATGTGCATTGCAGGGAACTCTTCACCAAACCTGAGTTGCCATGGGGATTCACTGCCGTCAAGCTGGGGGCTTGCGTTGATCGCGGTCGCATGATGCTGCATGGCCAATGGCCACATCTTCAAAGGAAGTCCTGATTGCAACAAGTTGCTCCGGGCACCTTCCAACATCTGACGAACTTCGCGCTCAGCAAAAGACTTTGATGAATCTACATATTCAATGGAAGTTTGGTGTCTATAACCCAAATCCTTGATGGCCCTGATCAATTCTGGGGAATTGTCAGTGTACACAACTTGAACATCATCCTTTGATCCAATGAAGTGATTCAAACCATCAACACAGCTTTGTGAGTCCTTGGACTGGCTAGGGTAGACATACCGATATTGGGTGTGCAGATCTTTCAACACCAATGCGACTTGCTCCCCCCTGAAACCCTCTTCTACGTTTTTCTTGATGATGACATGATCCCCAATGACATGGTCACCGAACACTTCAGTTTCGATTCTCTTCTGACCACCTTTCTTTCGTGCCTGAGGTGCCATCATCCTTGCTCGTTGGCAGGTTCTGCAAAAGGGGTTCTTGGGGAAATGCGTGTACTGATGTTGGGTACTTGCAGCTTCGGCCAACAGATCCTCAGTCTTGCGGCTTCGGATGTACTCCTGCTGAGCGTCATCCTCGACCAGCTCATCCAATTGCTCTTCATCTTGGGCTTCGTCCCGTTTGGCTTTTGAGCTCGACCGTGAGGTCGGCATTGCAAACAACTTTCTGAGGTGCTTATCCTTTTGAAATTGATCTTTGGGATAAACCTTGCAACTATCATCCAAAACTGGGACATGACCTTCGATCTTGAGCTGGACGACCTTGTCATCTGGACGGACTAGGATTGGTTTGCCATTGGCAGGCCATACGAAACTGTAACCCTGATCTACACATCTCGTTCCTACGGAGAGCACAGCTGGGGTATGATCAAGTACATATGGATGCACGGGATCTGGCAATGCGGACAACTTGACATCAGCAACCTCGTTTGCCTCGGTCGAACCATTGGCTGTGACTAAGGAAATCGGATGCTCGGCTGCACGGCAGTTCTTGGCACTGACATCCCTCAGCATTCCTTTGGACACAAGATCGGATTCACTACCTGAGTCGACAAGCCAACTAACACCGGCCTTTGGCGCGGCTGTGGCAATTGACGGGAATCGACCAATGTCTCTAAGGGCTTTGGGACCGCTAATGAACCTGCACTCTTTGCATGTGATGTCACGTGTGTCCTCATTCCAACAACAAAACCCACAACTAGGTGCAACATCTGAATCATGAAGTTTCACAGTTTCCTGAAGCTGTCTTGCACGAATCTGAGCCTCATGCTGTTCAACCTTGGATGAAACCGGAACATCTTCAGCTGTCTTGTACACCTGAGTGAACTCTCTTGGACGGTGCTTGACTGGGACTTGACGACCAACTGCTCTCACCTCGATCACATGTGGGGCCTTTCGGAATCTAAGTCGCTTCATGCTGACACTTGACTCATCGGAGCACGAAGTTGCCTTCGGCTGTTTTCGCACGATGCATGCAAACTTCCGGATCAGGCATGGAGCGGCTGTGGAATCCTTGCTCTTCTTTTTGGGAGCGGGTGAATTGGCCCTTTTGGTGTCTTTGGTGGCGGCAGCAGCTTTGTCATCATGCTTATAAAAACACTTGTCACCACGTCTGCACTTTCCCTGGGCATGATAGATACATGGGGTTTTGGCCATTTCTTCCTTGGACATTTTCTTCCCCTTATCATCTTTGTTGCCCCTTGATGGTGAACGTGTTTTGGTTCTTCTGGGTGATTGAGTTCGAGATTTGTCATCCTTGACATGCTTAAATGGACATTTCTTCCCCTTATCACAGGTACCCTTTTGGAACTTATAGCAAATCTTGTCACCTTTGCCACCTCGTTCCTGCGATCTACCACGACTTGGGGAGCCCTTTCGGCCACCGCGACCATCGCCTTTGGCAGGTGCGGCCTTTGTGTCCTTGATCCCAGCCTTGTTCTTCTCCGCGATGCGGTTCCTGTTCTCCCTCAATCGTTCACGATCGATCAAGTTCTTCATGGATTGGTGAAGAAAACTATAAGACTTTTCATGGGATTTCTCATGAGCACGGTCAAACATCTCAATGTCATACTTCAGCAACTGACTTGGTCGGATCTGCCTCAACAAGATGTCCCTTAACACAGCATCATCGGGGGTGACAGCCATGCCAGCTAGGGTAGCATCCCATTTGTTGATGAATCTTCGGAGATCCTGGACAGTATCGCCTACTTTGACAACACCCAAAAGATCTTCTACTCTGTAAAGGCTACCTGCTTCTTCTGATGTCTTGAAGTAGTCCTCAAACATGAGCAGAACATACCTTCCCCTGACCTGGATGCCTTTTCGGGATTGCTGCTCCTTGAAATTCAAGATCCTAGTTGCGAGGTCCCCTCCGGCTGAGCGCGTGAGCGCTGCTGATAACTTTGTATCCAGCGTGAGGAACTTTCCAGGATCTTGGAGTTTCTTCTCCAACTGCTCTCTGGTGCACTCTTGATCGTACACCTCATTGAGCCAGAGCCACGCCTCATCCGGGCGATCTGAACAGCTTTTCACTTCATCCCTGACATGATTCTTCCAAGTCCTATACGACTCCGGAGCGGGCATGTTGTTCAGCTTGATGAGTTCGGCCTCCTTAGTTTTTGGCTTATCCTTTTCTTCCCTTTGGGTTAAGGCTTTCACCAATTCAATAAGATCTGAGGGACCCATCACTTGCTGTTGCTTGGTTACGCTCTTGGGGGAGTCATTTGGGGGAGTTTTGATAGCTTCAGTGGGAGTGAAAAACCCTGACTGCGTTGGCAATTGAGGCTGGTCGTTGCCGACAGCCGGCTTTTGCTTGGGACTGCCACCTTTGAGCAGCTCATCCAGCTTGGCCTTTGCTTCTTGTGCCAACACTGCAGGCGTCTTCAACTCATGAATCGGCTCGTCACTGCCTTTGGCAGCCTGTGCATCGGATGCTTTGGGAGTGGCAATATTGAAGTGGGGCACGCTAGTGGTAGCGGCTGGCTCGGCATTCAGGGCGGATGCTCTCGGAACGGAGGCATGCTGCGCTTTGGCAACATGCTTTAACTGCTCCTGAAGGTCATCGATTTGGTCCTGAAGGCTAAGGTTCTGAGCCGCTGCCTCATTGATCTTGTCGGCCATCTCCTTCTTGTAGTTCTCGAACTCGGTCCTCAAACTGATGAACCTGGCCTGATCAATTGCAGCCTGATCTTCATATTGCTTCTTTGTGGCAGCTATGGCATTCTTTGCATGTTCAACTGTCTGTGCATAAGAAGCTTCGAATTCACTAGTGATACGTTGCTTTTCCTCTGCAATTTTCTGATCATGCTTTGTGTTTGCCTCTGCCTTTACATACTCTATTCTTTTGTCATTCGATGCCTGAGCCTGATTCAACCTGACCTCCATCTCATCGCCTCGTTTCCTCTCCTCGTTGACGGCACTAATGGCCTTACCTTCAATCTCCTGCAGCCTTTGCTCATACTCCTGCTCCTGCATTACGAGTCTACTTGACCATTCGTTTCGAATTGAGTCAACTACTCCATGCATTATCTGAAGGTATTCCCACTAGTAATCTGGGACAGGTTGTTTTGTATGAAGGTAAAGTACGCGACAACGGGTTGGAACATTGTTTCGTCATCCATCGGCTCGGGGTTGCCCCCGGCCACATTGGGCACAGCGACAGCCGATGGACCTGACCCTGGAACGGCGAGAGGATGGTCAATTGGGGTCCCCATAGCAAAGTAGTGAGACTACGGCTGATAACCTGTATTTTACCAGGTCAACCGAATATGGGGTGAAATACAACACTATCCGCTAAGCAGCTGATACTTTTGAACCAACGCTACAGAGTAGATCGATGATATATACACTACATGGTTTTACTGCAGGAGTTTTTACACATAATTAATTTAAAATATGTAAAGCTCTATGAGAAAGTTCTTTTCACGCTGTCACTGTCCTTGAGCATCTTGAGCCCCGAGCAAATGAACTTCAGGTTCGGAACGATCATGGCCACGGAGCGAAACAGCGCCTGAGTTGCAACTTTTGGAAACCTCAACCGGAGCCTCGGAGCATCTCCGAGCCTGGGCCCCCCCAATGGCCCAATCCACCTAGCAATCCACCCACCAAATCCCACCTATCAACCCCTAACCCACCCAGCCACAGATCTTGCTCGCCTTCAGATTTTCGGGCAGCTCGGTTCTACCAGCATAGCCAGGGTTCCTCGGAACGGAAACTCAGGTGACCTTTGTTTGGCTCCTGAATGGCCCTGCAGTTAATGCAGTTAGTATCGAGTCCAATTTTTTTGTGCGAAAAAATGGGGGAATCAAAAATAGGTACCAATCTTTTCGGAAAGAAAAAAGGATGGAAACGTCTCACAGCTGAGTTCACATCATCTTAACACATGGCGATGGCAGCCATGGCACATGGTGATAAATGCACCACATGTCTTCACCAACCGCAACTCCTGCAAAGATCAGATCAGGCGCGGTTGCTGGTAGTTTGATATTGAAATGGATGGACAGGATACGAGAAGATGTCATTTGGGAACTTTGCCTTTTGCATCTCTTCAGAAGCGAACCAAAAATACAAGTTCATCGCACGTTTGCTGCACCCAAGCATAAGATCAATAAGGGCCTTCATCCACAAACATGGTCTTTACACTTTACTTAACACAATAGGCTAGGATTTCCACACGTTTGTCGCTCCACCCCTCTGGCACCTCATCCACGAAGAGAAAAGTTTTGCTGTTGATGCGAATGGCATCCAAGACCGACTTGTACTGGGTGCTCACCACGGACAAGACCTCCAAAGTTGCGTTCGAATGAGGAAAATGGTGCTCGAAAATGCTCGAAGACTCGAAATCATGGAGATTTTGGCATCTGAGATTTTGGAGTTCCCATCTCCAGGTCTCAGGAGGTCTCTCCAGGTCTCAGGTCCAGAAGCCACAGCTGAAGCAGTGAAGCAGCTGGGACCACGGTCAGAAGGGAGAATGACGTTGCAGTGCTGAAGCCACAGTGAGATCATCCAATGGATCATCACCATCGACAATGAATCATCAACCGACAAATCATGGACTGTATTACTGTATCACTAAAGTAAATCAGTGAATCCTTATGTCATACTATTAGATCTATTAGTAAATGATTTCACTAACCATCTAAATTAGTATGCTGTTGATTTATCCTCTAACCATCTAGATTTCACTAACCATCTAAATTAGTATGACATGTATGACTATCCTCATCCTGCTGTTGATTTTGCTGTTGCCTCGATGGAGATACGGTTGAACTCATCGAAACATCCCCAGGCACCGACCTCACGGATATCTAGCGATGGCTGATATCTGGTGGTTTGTTAATTGAAGTTCAGGGAAAACCCAAGGGAAAACCCAAGATATAATATTATATAATATGTTCATATATGTTCATATATGTTCAATGGGGCAAATTATGGTCAACAGGATGGAGTGGGGGTAGTCCACTTTCAAGCAACCGCAAATGGATTGACAACCAACACTACGATGGATGAATCGATTTTTTTGAAGATCCACCTGGTTAAGTCTTGGGTTTCCACAGCTATTCAGCCACAAATTGAAATGACCATCTGCACATCTCAATGGAGACTCAAAGAACAAGGAAGAACAAGGAAGAACAAGGAATCACAGTCGTAGCCGTCGTAGCCTGTGCCAAGCCCATGAAGATCTGGGCTGTGGTTTGGTACGTCATCTGATCCGAGCAATTGAACCTGGGAACGACTGGGAACGACGCAGCAATTACCAACTGCGCGACGTTTCGATCAGCGAAAATCGCAAAAGCCTCGAAAATTTGAGGCGTTGATGATTGAGATCTATTGAGATCTAATATCTTCATCTTGCTGTTTCAAAATTTCTCATGTGGTTCCAAACTCATTGCTGGGCAAATTGTTTTCAAGTTGTTTCTTTCAGACTTTTAAGATCAAGATCGAAATGGAATTTGTGGCTGAATGCCTCATCATGTCTCATCACCTCACCGGGTTTCCAGACACCACGATGGGCAAACCCAGTGCCCTGGAGAGGTCCTTGGTGGTTTCCGTCTTCCCTGTGCCTGCCGGCCCGGCAGGAGCTCCTCCGCGATGGGATGGGGCATTTTTTTCTGGGATCTTTCTGCTTTTTAAGTGATGCATAGGGATATATAGGGAAACTACAAATGATCTATTCCGATTGTTATATGTCTGATCATCCATTAAAAAAAAGTTGGAGGATTCCTTTAAAGCAAAGAATCAATGATTATCAACTATTTAATGTATCACCATAAAAAGGCAGAATCCGGAATCCCCATATGGTTGATTGATATGCAAATTACGATCATGTAATGTGGTGGTGCCATGAAGAATGATAGACGTTTCCCAAAATGAGAGATGCCGTTTTTGGTGACATGACATGCAGCAACTGGAAGTACAAGGCAGATTGCCGGTCCACCAGTGCCACTGCCGTCCTCCAAGGCATAGATTCAATGCCTGGCAATGTGGGTTTTACGGAAAAAAGGCGACCACAAAAGCCCAAGTGTCGGATTATTATGGGAGACAAGCCACACTGAGCTGTCTTAAGTTCAGGCTTTGAGTTGGTAGTTTCAAAGCTGTTCCATCCGCCTGCGTCAGAGTGATATAACCTCAACGAGCGGAAAACAACAGAGCATTTGACGCACTGCAACCACGCGGGTTTCCAATCACAAGAAACATGTTCATTTTGGAAAGAAAATGCTTGACACCAATGGTTAGAACCAGCTGAGCAACATCGGTCGGTGAGAGGAGTAATGACCAATCTGCCCACATTTCCAATGTATTCCTCGGTCGAAGGGATGCAGTGCAAATGTTGATCGCTAAGTGTCCGATCAAAGCCATCCCATTTGGTGCCGCATTTTGCAGCAAACTATCCTGTACATGCCGGTGGCCGCCACTATGCCTAAATCGCATCCATCTCCCATCTCCAATCTCTCCATTATCTCCAATCTCCAAGCTTCGTAGGCATAGCAGGTGGCCCAGTCGCAGATCTTGATGAGGCAAGTCTTCTGATGCGGAGGTGTGAACGACACCAAGCTGCTGCCTGGCCCGACTGGCGTGAAAGGATTGGATCTATGTTTGGTGAAGCCTGAATCAGGCTTGGTCTTTTCACCCCGTGAAAAGAATAGCCTCCAACAGTTCTCATCTTTTCGCCGGTGAATTCTAAATCGACAATATTTTTTGTGCAAACTTTTTCCAAACACCATGTCTCTTCTTGTGCATCAGGATGCAATGCTGGTGCCCAATGGGTCCAGAGAAAATGTACTTATTCTATGTAGATTAGAGATGATTAGAGACAGACTGTATAGGTTCGGGGTTGGGCAACATCTAATGCCGAAACTTTAACGGCTACAATAATAATTATCCTCATGCAAACACAACATCAAAAACAAAGTTTAGCACCAGGATATACCCCCAAACCCAAGAGGAACAAACAGCAGGAAGGGTGAAAGGATGAATCTCAACAACAAGTATGATATGCAACATACAATTTTCATAAAGTATCATTCAGCACCATTGAACAACATCATATATTTGGAGGAAATAGTCCACTTCCACAGAAACCATCAGAACCCCCAGTGATTCCTCAGGCCAAGCAGTTGCCTGGTGGATACATTGTCCAATAGAAGCGCAGTTGCGATCCCCACCTGGAGCAAGACGGGCATCGTGGAGGACACATGGTTTTCTTCTGAGATGTCCAATTCTGTTGGATTTCTGGTGGCTCTTGGAGTCTTGGAGTCTTGGAAACAATTGGGTTGTCTTCTCAATTGGAACAACATCTTAACTCCATTTGCTACCGGTATCCAGAATTTGATTGCAACCTTTCCACCAAATCTGGTGCTGCACCCCATCCATTCAATGCGGCGACTGCAACTGCTGCAACTGCGACCTGAAGTCGTTGGCTTCATTGACCTTTTGAAGCACGAAGGATTCGATGACGTCCCGGGAATGCACGTCGATGGTGATGATGGTGATCACCTGCAGTCTGATGACATGAATGACTATAAATCACATAAATCACATAAATCACTGGAAATGTGTGGATGGTGTGGATGGTGTGGATGGTGTGGATGGTGTGGATGGTGTGGATGGTGTGGATGGTGTGGATGGTGTGGTTGGGTTCTCAGCTATTCTCAGCTAACAACCACCCAAGGCAGCCTACGTTTCGTGCCGCGGGAAGACCGGGAAGGCCCGTTGACACTCCGTTGACTCTTCCGAGTCTCCGGCCTTGGTGCGTAGCTCCTTGTCGGATTCGCCCTGCACCCGGCGGATCAGCTTATCGATGCGATCGTCATTGACCTCAAAGCTTAGCCGAAAATCTGAAAACTGCAAAGCTTAGCAAAAACTGCAAACATCTGAACCATCTGATGATACTTTTTGATACTTGTTGATACATTTTATCAAACTGAATCATGTTGATACCCAACTGATGTCGCCGCTGCATCCAAGATGTGGCTCCTGCAAATGACAGCTCTTTACAAATCCGTTCTGCCATTTTCTACCATTTTCAATCCATTTTCTGCCACACATCCTATCTGTCCAACTGCTTCCCCCACACCACATGTCATTGAGATGTCGACCCTTTTGTAGTCACGCATGGCAGTTTCGCTGCCGGCTTCCATGTCTTCAAAAGCACGGGCTGTTTCCTGTCATGGGTTCTGCCCCACCAGAAGGTCATAAATGTCATAACCTTCAAATCATGTGAGTGTTCAAATTCCATCCATATGCAAAGAAGAAATGCAGAAGTTTAGGGTAAAAAGACACAAAATACACAAATAGCTTTTAAAAAAAATCCAACTAGCTTGTCTAAGGCATCCCATTCCCAAGAGCCAAATAAAATGACCCGCCATCCTCCGTCCAAATGATCTGCGTGGCCAACAAGCTCAACTGAGCACAGTAGTCATCCAGCCAGGTTTCACGGGGCCTGTCAAAAATGCGGTAGCTTTTCGGTCCCACAATGTGTGTCATTCTTTGTTTCTTTAATACAACTTGCAATCCAATTGATACAAGTAATCTCATTGATAGTATTTGATAGTGATATAAGAATCCAATTGATAGTGTATATTTGTATAATTTTGTATATTCTTCGGTATATACGAGCTCCATATGGGTATTTCTCATTGGTACATCAAGGCCCTAAACCATTTTTCTAAACACCCATGGAACAAGCTGACAAGTTGGTTCCAGAGCGCCTGTCGCCCACCTCCCAACTTTCAGCAGAAGTTCTAGCCTGCAAGAGCCCAATGGAACCAATGGAAATGTAGCCTCAAATCTGATGAATTTGACATAATTTGACAAACTGGGATGAATCAAACCGAATTAAACCTGAAAATCTTGAACGCACATGGTTGGATGGGATCAAATTCAGAAACTTGAAGGCGTTCCAATCACTTTGCAGTTGCCTGAGTTTTGAATATGTCTTGCCATGTTTGTCTGAACATATCATTCCCCAAATGCACATTGGCTTTCTCCTGTGGTAGCCTGCAATCATCTGCAATCACTACGGAAAAAAAAAGTAATAGTTTGCTTCATTACGCCCCAATCTTCTGCACAAATTCTGCCGTTGATAGGAATCGCAACGTGCCCGATATCCCAAGTCCTACCTTGAAGGTCCTTGGGTTTGTCAAGAATAGGACGTTTACCCGTTTTTTATAGCTGAACTAAATTGGGTGTAGGGGTAGCAGACAAACCCATGCGCGTTCTGCCGCCGATATGCCAGTCCCGGGCAAAGGTGTAGTTCTGTTCGGTCACAGCTTTTTGACTAAAGTCTTTTGCCTTCTTTGAGGTCTGAGTTTGCCAAAGTCATGCACGGCGAATTGTACGTTCTAAATGTTCAAGATGACGTAGGCTGGTCAAACTGGCCCAAGCTTCTACCCGAAACCAGGCAATGTTAAAATTGCTCGTTGCGACTGCGAGGTATCCATTGTCTTTCTGGAACAGGTCCTTGTCGGCCAACCTCTAAGAACGGGACAATTTGAAGCCATGGCAAGCTGCAAGATGCTACAAATTGCCCCGCTACAGGATTCATAGGCTCATCCTTCTGGCCGATCCTCTAGGTGGCCTTTCAAAATCTTTTAAAGTTGCAAGATGCAACTGATGCAACGGATGCAACTGATGCAACTGATGCAACTGATGCAACGGTGTCATTCAGCGTTCTGTATGCGTTCTGTGCAATAGCCGAATAGTCGAATTGACTCAACACGTCCAGAGTAGCGCAAATAGCGCAAATAGCGCAAAGGTGTAAAGCCCTCTTTGCCACATTTGGAGCAGGGTCTTGATTTGCCTATTATTAAGCCGGATTACATCGTCCCGAGAGGCAGAAATCTGTCCATCAAGATCGAATGGCAATCCACTGGCAGTCCATCAAAATCCCGAGCTTCATTGGATTTGCCCCGAACACATCGTCCTGGATTTCGCGACCATCTTCAGAGAACAACCTCTGTGTGAATCTCGTGTTGCCCAGTGGTGCAAAGACCTGCTTCACTTCCTTGTCTGATCTTCCTTTGAATTCAGCCACCTCAAATTCTGCAAGCGTCTCGCCCAAAGTGAGGGAGCACACTCCAGTTTTCCATTGCAACTTCTCCAGGCAAGGGACTTTGCGTCCTGCCTCAGATTCAGTTCATAGTTTGATGCAAGTTCGTTGGGATATACCTTCATTCTACGCCAATTTCAGAGGCTTCTGACAAAACACAACCTATCCAATGGAGTCCAGTACGCCAAACTCTGACAGCAATTGATCCTAAAAAATCATCTGCATATGATCCATCTATATGATCATAAAAAATGATCTCCATGTCGCCATATGGTGATGTGAAAAACAAATGGAAATCGCACTTTGAAATCTTTGAACCACAAATTTTAGCGCTGCGTTGGACGGGACGCGTTTTCCGGTTGCGTTGTGTACCGTGATTTTTGGGGCGGAGCCGTTCTCCCGGATGTGGGGCTCCAATGGCTAAACATGGCACCACCCCAAATCTGGAGATTTCACGTGATGTGTCCATTGCCAGCCAAGTTACATGACAATTTGGATGTCCGGTTTTTTGCCAGCTGGGTCTTATCATCACCATCATGTTCCCAAGATTTCCCAGGTATCATCATTCTTTCATGGAGCTATTTTGGATTATTTTGGTGCAAAAATTGACACATTTCGAACGCTGAGATTGCCGGATTTCCGGACTGAAGAGTTCCCTGTCCGTTCCGATGAGTTCCGCCTGTTCCAGGACTTCCCTCAAGGCAAGGCGAATGTGCGCTTCCAGTCCGGCCAAGTAGATCTCCACCGGGCCCTGGGACGCGCAGGTGGCATGGTGGCAGGGTGCTAAGTGACCAGGAGAAACTGCTCTGAGTTGGAAATGAAAATGGAAATCATTGAAGTCATTTGAAATGAATTGACATGAATTGAAATGATGAAATGATGAAATGATTTCCAAATGGTTTTCAAGTGACATGTGATCATGTGGTTCAAAGTGTCTCGATAATCCAATCATCAGACCTTAAAGGCCATGGTCGTGAAGGCTCATGCCATTGTCGGTTGTTTTTACAGTGCAACAAAACATGTTGTTTTGATCCACAGAAAAAAAAATGTTTTTTCAGAACAGCACCAGCATACCTCAACCAGCTTAAACTGCAAGCACCGCCTCCAGCACAAAGTTTCCCGGATCAGATGGCCAGGCGACAAACTGCAGGCAACGGCGTTACAATCGGCCCACGCTTTACGGAGAGCAGAGGGGGAAATGAGGGGTGAGCAAGGTTGAGCATGTGTGATCAATGAAGAACTGATAGGGAAAATATGGGAAAATAATGTGATGCAATTGATCATTTTGCACAAGTGCGTTGCCGAAACAAAGATCTTTTCGGCACCTCGCCATCCTTGGCTTTATGGCCACATGCGATGCGGCCCAGCTTGGGATCGGGGGAGAAATCTAGGGTACCTCGGTGATGAAAAAAAGACACCTCGGTTTACAGTTTAGAATTTACAGTTTACATGTCTACATCATGTCTACTTTAAACGTTTCAACAAGAGCGCAAATTGTCAGATTCCACCAGTTCTTTTGCTCAATTCTGCTTCTCGTTCCCGAGGCGACATACATCTTGACTGCCTTCTATATCAAAGATATCCAAAGATGCTGACTGAATCTTTGGTGAATCAACTTCCTCTACTTCCATTCCATGTTCGGCTTCACATGATTCAAACCAACCACAAAAGCATGGAATTCTTCTCAGCATCTCTCAGCGTCGGACGAATGCCATCAAAGACATCGCCCAAGTACTCAGCCACCTCACCAGGAAATGGGAAGAAGCAATGAGACGTGAAGAAATTTGACATCGGAACTCATAGGAATAGACGATTGCAATATGTGATGTTTTTGTGTCAACTCACATTTATTCTTTTGGCCTTTGGCAAACTCCATTCTGAGAAAGACATGTGGATTGATAGTGTGCAAATGGATTTCAGAACTCGTTTGATCTTTTCCTCCAAGGCCTTCAGGGGTTTGTTGCCATTGGACAGGATATCCAACAGAGCTCCATTGGCCACGAAGTAAAATCGCGGAAAGGCTTTCTTCTTCTGCTCCAAATAGTCATTCCTGACAACACGAAATGCTGATTGCACTACCTTCCACCAGAAGAACTGTTAATGCTGCATTCATGCTCATCAATTTTTCAATACGAATCTGAGGCCTGGGCAAGGATCTCTCACAAGTGTCCAAGGCATCCGTGATATCTGCCCTTAGACGACCAGGGTTTGATGTCTCAGGAACCTCCGAAATTCGATCGAATTCGATGGTTTAGAAATCATGTTCCCCACATTAGAATCATTACAGTAGAATATATGTATATATATATATATATATTTATACATAATATATATATATATAGCTAGCTATAGCAGCTATAGCAGCTATAAAATGGGGCCCATCTCATCGTTTTTTTTCACAAACCCACCAGGACCCAGCACCCAACAGCAACAACTCACCGCTGGGCATCCCAGGCAATGTCTGGGCGCGGCCATCGGCCGTGCAAATGTCAACGATCAAAGAAGATCTGGAAGCCTCCCATGTCTAAAGGCATGGCTCAAATCAAGTGATTCCATGGTCATCTTGCCACAAAATGGCCAAAAAACCGAACAAACTGAATTATCTTTCTCCAATCTTCGAGAAGAGTTGGCAAAGAAAAGGATTCCAATTGTCTACCAATGCTGTTTCCCTGCTTGGTTGTTTTCAACATGGGTCATTTGCAGACAAACACACCTCCATCATCAAATCCTGCAGCGACTACCAAGGATCTGCCGTAAGATGTGCGCTGCTTTTGACTGTAAATCGAGATGCCATAAGAGGCAGCAAGGGTGCCGATCTTTTTGTGCCATTGAACTGTGAAAGAAAGCATGCTGGGCAGAGAATTTATGATTGCTAGGGAAAAGGCTGATTGATGCTGATTTCTGTCAGTAAAACACAATTATACATACACACACGTATAGTTCAGATGATGATACATGATGAATGATATGAATGTCAACTCAAACGGATGAGGTCAATGAAGTGCATTGTGCGCTCCAAGAAAACAGATGACTCGTGTCCTTCCAGCTGTTGTCCAGGAGCTCAAACCTCTTGGAATCCTCTGGAAGCTGCGAGCGAATGTCATCGCTCTGCATGAAGATGGGCCTGCCAGCTGCCATGCTGACAAGGAGTTGGGGTCGTGATGGGTCATGCCCCAAAAAGATGCAAAAGCCGGGATTTGACCCCAAATAGCGAATTAACCCATCAAATAACTGACACTGACAACTAGAAGGAATTCTCCTCCAGTAAATGGAGCCGGCAAGGGGAAGAAATCCCAATCTTTAAAGGAAAAAACATCTACAAATGGTTGAAGTCATTGCAAGAACCAGAAATGTAGCAGAAGGTACCCCTCGCTGCTTCCAAGGTGCTCCAAACGACACCAGTTGGTCTGGAACTTCTGCCACACCTTCAAGACCAAGTTGAACTGGACTTCTGATTTGAGGCTTCTGCTAGGAATGGTTCAGACTTTGGGCAATTTTGATCCAGACCCATTCCTATGAGGTAGTTCCAAGATGAGAAATGGCAATTTGAGTGAGAAAATGATGATGTACCATTGGATTGTGCGGAATTCCTAGGGATTCCAGATGTTCATCATGTTCATCCAGACTCATCCAGACTCATCCAGACTCATATTGCCAAAGTCTTCATCAACCTTCTCTGTTCTTATCTCTTTATCTTGCCATCTTTCTGTGTTTACCGACTTCCCGACAGTTTGTCAAGTGTCAACTGTGGCAACTGCGGCAACTGTGGCAACTGTGGCAACTGTGGCACTGTGGCACTGTGCCTGCAAGACGGAGTCGACGGTCTGCAGCTTTTCACTCCACTCGTCCACTGTCTGCTTGCAGAATTCAATGAAGCGGCCCTGACAGGTGCACCCGCCGCAAGTTGGCAAGGGGTTGCGGGAGAGTTCCCAATTTCAGCATGGTGATTTCCAAAAGAAAGGAGCAAAAGTTTCAGCAAAATCACCATGGGGAAATCACCATGAAGAAACATGGGGAAATCACATGGTGATTACCATAACTTGACCATAACTTGACCATAACTGATAAAACATGATAAAAAAACACCTTTTGTTTCCGCATTTTGCCGCCTGCGAGGTCATGGACAACATCTCCAGAGAATCGGACTCCAAACGTTCCAGCACCTGGAGACACATGCGTCTCTAAGATTTGGAAAACCGAAATGAGGAAAATATGGAAAGAATATGGAAGAATATGGTGCTGTTTGGCCCTTTCTTGGTCGCTTCAAGGCACGAAATATCTGGGCCTAAAAAACAATAAAAAACAGTTGGATGTGTTCCTCCCAAAATGGCTGTCTGTGCTGTCTGTTCTTGGTCTTTCCAAACTTCAAGATTGCCTCCAATGAGATGGTTCTGAACAAAAGGCACTCGAGTCACTCGAGGATTTTCCAAAAAGCGTACCTCGTTCCGTTGATCCGTTGATCATTTTCCCCATAGGCACCGTGCGCCTCACTGAGATCCGCCAGCAGTGGACAATCCTCGCGGCTTCCATCGAAGTCCACCGTCATCTTGGACCAGGTGCGACGGATGCCTTCCAACTTGGCTTCCTGAGCGAAAGCCAAACGGCTGTGCCTCGATCCTGGTTGATCCTGGTTGATCCTGGTTGATTTATGAATTTACAGGAAATGGGAGTTCTGCATACGAGGTATTCCTTTGACGTTTGTCCGTTAAACCGATTCTGAAATATGGGACGGGTTGATGATCCTTGAAGTTTGTGATCAATCCTATGATTTTTATGTCTATCATCTATCAACCATGTTGTCAAGTGACCATGATGGTGGGTGATGAAGAGGTTGGGGTTTGTTGATGGAGATAAGACTCAATTGCAGTGATAATTGTATCAACGGTCAATCAACTAGAGTCGACTATATGGCTTCTAAAACCTATCTATGGCTTCCCAACCATCAGGGACATGATGAATAATGCATTTTCAATTGGAATCCAACAGCCCCTACAGCCTACACCATATGCTTGTTATGTATTCAACTATACTATACTTCATCACTGGTCATAAAATCAACCCATCATGATCCATCTATCAATGTTCATGGGAATCGTAGTCGGCTTTCATGGGTTTGTGGATTTACGAATCCCTGGTTGGATGGATGGAAGACTAGAATAGCTTTGGGTCTGTGTAAAACTTGCTGCAGGCTTTGGAGATTTTTTGACGGGGGACTGGATAGGCAGCAACTGCCCAAAAAGTGGAGGAGTTTCTTGTCATATTGGAGTTCAGCTCTTAAAAGCCACAGGGAAAAAGAGGGCGCACATGCAATGTCACTGAGGGCACCAAAGGCGGCTTAGATGGTTTAGGTATGAAGAAACAATAAGAAACATATTTAAGCACACTGAGGCTGTTTATGGTTGTTTAGTGTTACAGCTGTTACATATCGAAAGTTCCGCACAGTTGCAGTTGCATCTCAGCAAGCAATGCCCTGGCCCTGGGGCCCCGAGCAATTTTGGCCTCCTTCACGCTTTGGTCCACAATGTCGTAGACAGCATCCCTGGCGAATGCACAAACGACGCAAATTGGGCCATTGGCAACCTGGAAATTGTGACATGGCACAAACTGAAGAAACCTTCCGAATGACGAACTGACCACCTGTTCCGCCTGTTTCAATCCAAGGACGCTCTGGGTCACGTCACTGAGGTTTCGGGCGAGAAATGATGCAGCTCCAATTCCAACAGGTGCCGAAAGCTGAATTCTGGGCCCTGGCAAATCGCAGTTGAAGAATCTAGTGATTCCAACAAAGGTTTTTCAGCACTTAGAACCGTTCCATGACACATGCTGTCACTATCTGCCCCTTGGAAGCATTGGTTTGTTGATAGTAACCATCTCCTACATGAACCAGTTGGAATACATTAATTGTCCCAGTTCAGCTGCAAAACAAACAAGAGCAGTTCGCCAACCCCAAGTCTTTCCTTTCGCTCCAAGTCTGGCAAAGGTGTGCGGCTCCTAGCTGAGCCGCCGAGCTGAGCTTTCAGGAAGTCAACCACTTCTCCATGGCCACCAAAGGATGCCGCTGTCAAAGGGGTTTGGACGATGAAGTCATTTCTTGCAGGACGCCAAGCGTCTACTCTGGAATCAGGATTGGCGCGTGCCTCGATCAAGAATTGTACCATGTCGAGGTTGCCTCTCTCAGCGGCATACACCAGAGGCCTTGCTACATCAAAGTTATCCTGAGTGGTGGTTCAACCCATCAAAGAAAAATACAAACGTCCATTGGGATCACATCATCCCATTTCGAATTCGGGTAAAATCAAAAAAGAATGATTGAAACACTTTGAAACGTTGAAATCACAACCTTGGATCCTTGTCCGCCCCGCATTCAAGCAAGAATTTCAGGATATCGACAAAGCCTTTGCTAGCTGCAACGCTCAAAGGTGTTTCCCCCTCATCGGTTCGAGGGTCCAGCTTGGCACCAGCATGATAGAGGAATCGGACAATGTCAAGGTGGTTTCCTTCGGTTTGAAAAAAATGGTTCCCAAAATGACCAGAAAACCAGTGAAGGAATCCTTCAACATACCTTTACATAAAATAAGACAGCGGCTGTTACTTCAGGGCAGAGGGGTCAGGGATGAAAGCTAGCCTGCAAGGTAAAGTGAGAAGGAGGAAGGCGTGGTGCAAGAGCGGCTGTGAGGAATTGGGAGATACGAAGCGGAGAGTAAGCCTGGTTTTGGTAAGTTTGATGATGCTGATGATGCTGATGATGCTGATGGCGACCATATGGTGACGATATGGGCGACAATATCCCACGAGAAATTGAGCCACGGCAAAACTGATAAAACTGCCAAAAAGAGGGGAGGAGAGGTAGTTAAGTTAAGTGTGAAGGCTCACCTGATTGGCGATTCTAGCCCCTGCCCACATCTTGCGAAAGCAAGAACTTCAGCTGAAGCAAACTCTCGTGATGATCATGGAAGGATTTGGCAGTTGCTTTTGGCCTTTCTTGATGTCTCTGGGCAGATTACAAAGTAACAATTCTCATGTTTGCAATAAGCTGATAGCATGGTGTGGTTTGCTTAAACCCAGCCATCACGTATGGGGCTTGATAAATTCTGTCCTTCCGCTGCACCATGCAAGGCTGTGTAACCGTCATCCTCAGCCAGATCTGGGGAAACCCCAGCTTCGACCAAATAGCGGACTACATCCACGTGACCTTTCTCGGCAGCCAAATGCAAGGGAGGAATGCGGGAGAAATCATCCCATTTTGTACCTGGGATGGAAATTTCAAAAATGGTCTGAAAATTAGGTACCCCGGACTCATGGTGAATCATCATCTTTGCCATTGAAATGGCACGAACGATTATGGCCCCATCTCCAATTTTTGGACAAGGCATAACACAGCCAGGTAGCTCTGCGCCTGCTTCAATCAAGAGCTGAATGCATTCCAAATGTCCTCGTGCTGCAGCGCACTGCAAGGGCTCCACTTCATCATCCTCATCGTAATAGTCATCGTGAATTAAATTTGTCATGTTTGGATCGTACCCGCGTTGCAAAATCTCCTCAAGTGAAACTAAGTCGTTATTGGCAATTGCCAATAGCATCTTTTGCTGTTCTTCAGCATCAGCTGGACAAAAATCCATCACAATCAGAAGAAGCTCCACGGGTTCGGAGTCAAAAATTTTATCATCCATGATCTCGAGCTTGTTCAGAAAGAGCTTTAACCTGAATCTCGAGACTCCAACCTGAGCTGCCAAGATCTGCTTTAGCGCTTTGACAGTGCCTTGAAACTCATTGGCACCCAGCTGGATCACTGTTTCACCTGAGAGCAAGCGCACCTCCATGCCGCACTTGAATGTTCGCTATATTGGGCTTATCTGAAAATAGGGGGCCTTAAATATCCAACGCTTAATCATGCTTAATCACAAGTTTGCCTATCCTACATACCGTAAATACCTGTATTTGGAGAACCTCTCACAAAAACGGCCGGAGGGTTCCAGATTGATCGATATGTGAATAGCTATGGATCCAATTTTGCGGCCATACGCAGTTCTATGAGTGTCTTTTCTGTTGAAAGTGGAGGCTATCTTCCTGGATGGTACCTGATAGTCACGAGAATCGAAAATGGCTACAGGGAAGTTGTGGCGAGCACTGGAACACGCTTGACGAAATGTCATGAAATGTCACCCAGCAACAGAACAGGTTTCCCCAAATAAACAATTGAAAACAATCAACATTGTGTCACTGTTGAAAACAATGCATCAACAGTGACACAACCATTTGATCCAACCATATCCCACAGCCTTGAAATGTGGCGGTCAGTCCGGTTAATCAGAACTGGGACTTTCAACCAGACTATCATCAACCATGCGGATTGTCATCAAGCCTCAATTGCTCTGGTTGAAAAAGTTCAGTCGGTTGGGATGACCATCCCATCTGTTTGAAAACAGACCAGTCAACCAAGCAGCGATTGAACGAGTCGGGAAACATAGGTTCTGTTGGTCATGTTTTCTTGTCCGGCACAAAATCAAAACAACCAAATCTGACATACAGCAAATCAGCCATCTGAGATCCAATCTCCGATGCGACCCAGGCCTTTTCAAACGTCTTCTTGGTCACACCCATCAGCTGCGCCCAGTGCCGATCGCGCATGGTGTCGGAGTGGAGTTCCTCAAATGGTTCACATGCTGAAAAGTCGCTGCCGCGGGAGCATCCCGGCATTTCCTTAAATCTTGGGATGTTCAAACAGTGACATTGTCTCCAGATCTTCAACTGGGATTCTTCAAGAAACAGATGCAAGTGGTCACTCACATCTACAATTTTCATCATCTCAGGTCACTGAGACCCCAGCATTCACCAGTGGCAGGGCAGCAGACATGTTCTTGACCTGCAATGTTCCCAGGACGCTGAAATCACTTTCGCCGAAAGTTGTGGTAAATCCCAGCCATGGTTGGACAAATCATAGTTGTTTCTGGTTAGGTCCCCTTGTTTCCCTGGTAAAATCAACACTAAACGGGAACCCTTTTGGTGGGAACTTATGATTCACCACTACATTTCAACTATCCGATACAGTTGTTTAGGAAAAGCACATCTCCACCCCATCTGGCACCCTGCGGAACCTCATCCTGTAGCCAGGTGTACAGAGGCCATGCCCTCAAACCTTTCTGGGCACGAACCACCTGCAATTGATGATTTCAACGGCTCCAAAGCAGCAACTGAATGATGTTTGACTTGCTTCTGAACAGGTCGATTGTTTAGAATGAACCACACAGACCATTAAGGCTAGAAGTGATGATGATCAACAAGACCTCGAAATTCTGTGGCCGCGACCTGGTTGCTCAGTTCACGAACCGTGGCCACCATTTGCTCCGTGTCGATCTTGTCCCACAGCACATTGTACCTTCGGTGGCAGCCCATGGGGGATGACGGGGGCAATGATTGTTTTCTTCTCAAACCCCTATTTGAAACTGTTTTCCGACAAAGATCAACAAGGACATTCAAAGCAAAGGTTCAAAGTGGTATCCAAAATGAGAGGTCCGACTCTGATCCGAAGCCAACGAGAATGTTGCCCATCCAAGAATAATATGATTCACTACCAATGGTCAAATCTAACCCATCCTTAGATCTGAATGGCCATTTGATCTAGATCCACAGATCCATAGAGCACCAAGCAGAGAAGGTTTCCCGCACCATGACAATCAGGTCCTGCTCAAATCGTTGAATGGATGAAAATGGAGGTTGGACTTCCCATCCAAAATTGTGATTTCTCCAGAATATAGCACCATTACATGATCTTCAAGGATCACCATGGCATTGTGGCGATATTCTTTAGTGATTTTTAGTGTATCCAAGGAATCATCCTTGGAAAATTCACCCCGAACATTGATTTTCTTTGGAATAAAGGCCATGAAATTGCCAAAAAAAAAATGTGGAACTGCATGGATTCCGTACGTGGACGTCCAATCCCAGGCACAAACGTATCTTTTGATGTGTTTCATACCTCACTCACAGGGATCACAAAAACATTTCCCTTGCCCCAAGCAGTTGCGGTCCCATAAGTTCTTCAAAAGCACCAAGTTGTTGTAGCAGTCGTTCCTGGCCAAAAAAAACGTACGGATGTACCCTTCTGTTGACGCCAACCAGCTGGTTGCTCATGGCTGTTCATCCCTCCGTTCCTATGTATTGGGATGATCCAAAGGATTTTCTACAGGAAACCCGCCCGGCCGCCCATCAAAAATAAGAGGGCGGTATCTTGTACGTTACATGTTCCATGAAACTAGCCCAGGTTCACTAAATCCGGCTCTTCAATTTCTTTTTTGAAGAGCCAAAGTCTTTGTTGCTAAATTTCCAAGTTGTTTTGGTGAAATTGCACGTGAATCTTACCGAAGGAAGTTTAGAAGTCAAACTTCCGACAATATGGACAGATGGAAAAGCAGAGGTGGGAAGAGTCAGAGAAGAGCAGAGAAGAGAAGAGAAGAGAACAGAAGAGAAGAGAAGAGAAGAGAAGAGAGGAGAAGAGAGGAGAAGAGAGGAGAAGAGAGGAGAAGAGAGGAGAAGAGAGGAGAAGAGAGGAGAAGAGAGGAGAGGAGAGGAGAAGAGAAGAGAAGAGAGAAGAAGAGCAGAAGAAGAGCAGAAGAAGAGCAGAAGCAGAGAAGATCAGAGAAGATCAGAGAAGAGAAAGAGTCAGAAGAAAGAGTCAGAAGAAAGAGTCAGAAGAAAGAGTCAGAAGAAAGAGTCAGAAGAAAGAGTCAGAAGAAAGAGTCAGAAGAAAAAGTCAGAAGAAAGAGTCAGAAGAAAGAGTCAGAAGAAAGAGTCAGAAGAAAGAGTCAGAAGAAAGAGTCAGAAGAAAGAGCCAGAAGAAAGAGTCAGAAGAAAGAGTCAGAAGAAAGAAGATGCAGGTGCGCGAAAAAGGTAGGAAAGTCGCGATTCACTGTGTTTTTCCACTGAGTTGCGGTTCCGGGGTGGAAAAGTAGGCTCGCTAAAGCGGCAGGTGCAGAGCCATGTGGCCAGATGAGAGATGAAAAGTTGCACGCCATTGTGGCGCGAAGCACGTTTGCAAGTGAAAAAGCTAAAAACACTTCACGTTCGGAACACTTTTGGAAGTTGAGATGTCGAAAAAGTGCACGCCGTTGTGGTGCGAAGCACATCTTGAAGTCAAAATGGTAAAAACACACCATGCTAGAACCATTTTTAGACATTCAACCGCACCACACTGCATAACAACGACAACGGCAAGGACAACCACAACAACAACCACAACAACAACAACAATAACCACCACAACAACAACAACAACAACACCAGCAGCAGCAGCAGCAGCAAGAGCAAGAGCAACAGCAACAGCAACAGCAACGACCTGTTCGTACTACTACTACTACTGCTACTACTACAACTACTACTACTACAACTACTACTACTACAACTACTACTCCTCCTCCTCCTCCTCCCTCCTCCTCCTCCCTCCTCCTCCCACTCCCTCCCCTCCTCCTCCCTCCTCCTCCGCCCTCCTCCCCCTCCTCCCTCCTCCCTGCTCCCTCCTCCCTCCTCCCTCCTCCCTCCTCCACTCCTACCTCCCTCCTCCCTCCCACCCCCCCCCCCCCTTTTCCCTCCTCCCTCCTCCCTCCTCCCCTCCTCCTCTCCTCCCTCCTCCCTCCTCCCTCCTTCCCTCTTCCCTCTCCCTCCCCCTCCTCCTCCTTCCTCCTCCCTCTCCTTCTCCTCCTCCCCCCCTCCTGCTACTGCTACTGCTACTGCTACTGCTACTACTCCTACTCCTACTACTACTACTACTACTACTACTCCTACTACTGCTTCTACTGATACTGCTACTGCTACTGCTACTGCTACTGCTACTGCTACTGCTACTACTGCTACTGCTACTACTACTACTACTACTACTCCTACTCCTACTCCTACTCCTACTCCTACTCCTACTCTTACTACTACCACTACTCCTACTCCTACTCCTACTCCTACTACGAGGTCGACGACGACTACTACTACTACTACTACTACTACTACTACCACCACAACAGCTACAACTGCTACAACTACTTCAACAACTACATCTACAAAAACTACAACCACAACTACAGCTACAATTACTACAACTACAACAGCTACAACAGCTACAACAAGTACACCAACTACAACCACAACTACAACAGCAATAACCACTACAACTACAACCGCAACGACAGCTACAACTACAACTACAACCCCACTACGCTACAATACACTACACTCCACTTCACCACATTACACTACCACTACCACCACCACTACCCACTACCCACTACCCACTACCCACTACCCACTACCACTACACTACAACTACACCTTCTACTTCTACTACAGCTACAACTACAACTACAACAACACCATCCACAGCTGCAGCTACAGCTACATCTACAACTGCAACTACAACTACAACTACACTCCACTACAAGTACAACTACAACTACAATTACAACTTCATTACATTACACCCCACTTCACCACACCACACTACCAATACACTACAACTACAACTACAACAACTACTACAGCCACTACAACTACAACTACAAAATTGCAACTACAACAACACCAAGTGCAGCTACAGCTACAGCTGCACTACAAGACAACTACAACTACAGCTACAACTACAACTCCACTACACTACACTACACTCGACTTCACCGCACTACACAGCCACTACACGACGCTAAACTACACTACACTACCACAACAAAGACGACGACACAACAACAACAACAACAACAACAACAACAACAACCAACCAACCAAACAACCAACCAAACAACCAACCGACAAACCAACCAACCAAACAAACAAACAAACAAACAATTAAGCAACAAACAACAACAAACAACAACAAACATCAAACAACCAACAACCAACAAACAACAAACAACAAACAACAAACAACAAACAACAAACAACAAACAACAGACAACAAACAACAAACAACAAACAAACAACAAACAACAAACAACAAACAACAAACAAACAACAAACAACAAACAACAAACAACAAACAACAAACAACAAACAACAAACAACAAACAACAGACAACAAACAACAAACAACAAACAACAAACAACAACAACTACAACTACAACTACTACTACTACTACTCCTCCTCCTCCTACTCCTACTCCTACTCCTTCTCCTTCTCCTTCTCCTTCTCCTGCTCCTACTCCTTTTTTTGCTCCTGCTCCTGCTCCTGCTCCTGCTCCTACTCCTTCTCCTACTCCTTCTCCTACTCCTACTCCTACTCCTACTACTACTACTACTACTACTCCTACTCCTACTCCTACTCCTACTCCTACTGCTACTGCTACTGCTACTGCTACTGCTACTGCTACTGCTACTGCTACTGCTACTCCTACTACTACTACTACTACTACTACTACTCCTGCTGCTGCTGCTACTACTACTCCTCTTCCTCCTGCTGCTGCTACAACCACAACTACAACAACAGCAACTACAACTACAATACAACTACAACTACAACTACAATACAACTACAACTACAACTGCAACTACAATTACATTGCACTACACTACACCACATTACATCCAGTAGTTGTGGTTGAGGTGACCACTGCAACCATTTCAAAAAACACAACTCCAACCACCTTTCGGTCCATCAGTGGATTCGCTCTGCCATCCATGCATCACAACAACTCACCTCTCCTATAGTTTCCTATCTTGGAAACTTCCGCCACCGCCTTGTGCGGTACTATTGACATAAATATGTATATATAAATATATAAATCATTGTAAATCATCATAAATCTATATCAGTCATCCAAGAATTGTGCAAGGCCCGCAGCGGTTGGTAATTGCTCATGGCCATGTCAAACAGCAGCTCCAAGTCCTGGCTCGTGTCTTGGATAGGATTGAATAGTATTAAAACCAGAAATCGACCAATTCAACTCGCAAACCATGTGAGAATGGTAGAAGTAGTCAACTTCAACTCTGGGATGGTTTAGGGAACTGAAAATGGGGACTTTGAACTTTTCAAACGTGTCAATGAACTGAAACTGGGGATCATGAAGCTGCAGCTCCAAAGTACACTGACACGGGTCTGTCTATATTTGCAAGAAAAGAAAAATAATTCATGAAGAACCATTTGGCGAGAATAGTACGGACTTCATTTTCTAGATGAATCAATGCAAAAGCCCTAATTAATCAACCACTACGCACCCTGGGATCAGGTGTGCCAGCCGCTTTGACAATGAGAACAGTGTCAAATGTGAAGCTGAGCCACATTGAACTGTTCTGCACGTGCTCGGATTTCCATGGTCTTCTGATAGTACTCGTTGATCAATGCATAGCCTGAAGAAACATCTGCTGGAGGTGGATTTGGACCATCTCCTTTGGTATGATATGGTCACTGGATAATTTATTTTCGATCAATCAACTTCGGCTCTGGTGGCCAATATCCAAATCATCTTGACGGATATGGATACTCAGAGGCTGCAGGATTCAAACACAGATTGACCCTGAGAGCAGTGATGAATCAATTGTCAGCATCAATGTGTGGTCTTTTGTCTCGATCTGTGGTCAGCATCTTTCAATTTTTTGTGGCTGGAATCCGTTCTTGCTGGGCATCGCCTCAAGCTAAAGTGCTGAGTGCTGAGAACCAGACTCTTGTCATAGTTGCCAGTCACTGCATTCTCACCTCAGAGTTTGAGCGATTTTGTGAAACCAATCTGGCCCAGTGCAAAGCTGGTGGAAAATATCTTTGTCAAACGCACATATTTGGGCAAACGTTGCAAATGTTGTGCAAAAGCATCTGCCAAAGCAGTTCGCCTTGTGCCAATTTATCTCACCATCCTTGGAGAATCACAAAAACAGATCCCCTCTTGCTCTCCTCGGTGCGACAAGGGATCTCCGCAGCTGTCAGCCAATTGACTTCCAGGAACCCCCTATAGTATAAACCATGGTCAAAATCAGAATTTCCCCAAAACCAACCCTAATTGTTGATTGAATCAATAGACCCTCCATGTTGATTGCTGAGATCACTCCGTTGTTTATGGTCAAATCACCATTTTTCACGTCTGGGATCCCCGACTTCCAAAGGGACAACGATCCAAAAACTCCGCGCGGAAGCTGCGCACATCTTCCCTGAAGCCTTCGATCTTCACCCGAATCTTCTGCATCTCCTAGAGACCAAAAATTCCGGAGGGAGAAACCGAGAAACCGAGAAACCATCTCCACAGAAGGTCTTGCAACATGAAGGACAAAGCATAAAGAGTGCACAGAATATGGGGATCGTTGAAGAAAGCCAAGAAAGCCTGTTTTGCACTTGTTCAAATCAAAAAGAAAAGGATTTCCCCATGCTTCTTGGGAACCTCATGGATTTGTTAACCAGCAACATCCCAAACCGTTTTTTGTTGGCAAACCCCATATTTAGCGATTGGAAACACAGTTCTGCAACCCACCAAACTTCCGAGATTCTGTCCTGGTTCTGCAGAGGCAAGATCTTCTCCTTCTCATTGAAAGCTGCTCGGTCCACCTTTCAGCTTGAGTCCCATGGGCTAAAATTGCGACGTCACTGCGCAACCAGATGGTTTTATTCTATCTTCGAATGTAAGCAAGTAGTACACCAACTGAATTAGACATCAAAATGAAACCAATCAGATAGGACCAATGATGTGCGGTTGAAGTTCCCAGCCAACTGGCATGTTTGTACCCAAAGAATCGAAGAACCATTTGAAGATGTATCTGCAAATGGATCAAAATGGCATGTTCGTTGGATGCGAATGTTTCGTCGCTGTTTTCCATTCATCGTCACAGTCCCCAAAGTCCACAAAGATCAACGTGAGGTTGGCACCTCTGACCACTGGGCTGGTGCTTGCTCCAGAATGCTCCAGCACTCCTGGCCGAGTCACTGCCGAAGCGGTCATTTTCTTCACAAACAGAAACACAAAGATTTGAACATCTTGACTGATTCTCCTAGTGAGAGATTCTTCAAGTCCAAAAAGGTGGTACACCCCAAATCCATTGGTATGCTTAATTTCGGGACAGACCCATCTGGTGATTCATGTCCCATCTTTCACCAGCCGATCCTCGGAGATATTGCTATGGTGTCTCTTCAACATAGTAACCTGGGGAAAAAAAAAGTATGGCTGCAGCCATCGGACAAATCGGACACAATGATGTGAAACTGCGTCATGGAAATTCCGGGCCACCGTTTCTGGACTTCACATGGCTTCACATGTGCTGTGCGTGGAGATTTGACTTCAAATGCATGGAATTCCTGTCCAAGTGTGTCCATGGAATTTTGAGAGTTGAGGCTGGTTGGGAGGTTTGGGGCGCTGGGAGCAAAAAAAATGTTTTGATTCCATCCCATCCATCTTCATGGGGAGCCGGGCTTGTTCTCTCAAGGGTTGGAAGAGCCTGAAGGTGGGGTGGGATCCGGCCCAGTTTGAACCTGATGCCATGACATGTGTGATTTACGTTATACTTCAGATGCCCTGCATAGTTTATCACGGTACCTCATCCAAAATCTACAACTTCAGTCGAAAAAGGATTTGATTTGGACGTAAAACCAGTGAACTGGGTCCATGGTCACCCTGAAACCTAATGTTAGGCATGTTATCAAAGATTTCAGGGTTTCATGGATCCAGTGAAGTTGTGAACTGATTTCCACTGGGTCTGCCTCTGAACGGCTCCACGCGCCAGCTTCACATCACAGATCTTGGTCATCCTGAGACCCACCACCCCAGCCCTGGCTCAACTGACCCAATGATGTGAAAAATAGATAAAAGTATAAAAATATGTAGTGGCATGGATGGAAAAAGGACGGGAACTGGATGGGAACTTGCTGGGAAATGGGAAATGGATGGAAAACCTGAAAATTGGATGGACATGGTCAAGTTAGTTGGTGAAGTCTCTTCTGTTTGGCGCACTTTCAGATGTTTTTGCACATGTTTGCAGTGACATCGGAATTGCCTGTTTTTTGCTCTCTCTCTCATTCTCGTAGCAGCACATCCTGCTCGGAGAACTGAGTCATCCACGTCTGATAAAGCAAACGCTCATCCTGTCCAGTGGTGCGGGATACTACTGGTAACATACTGGTACCATCTTCCGGCCATGCGAAAATTTCTGCTGCACTGCAGCACATCAGAAAACGAAGATAAGGTAAGAGCGAGTGCGATACAAGACCAACAAACCCATCATACGAAAATATTGCAATCCTCGATGGGCTGGACAGTATGCGGTCAGAAATTCCATATAAAAGGACGACCTATTTGCGACCCAAGCTGCCCAACTACCTCTCTTGTGAAGTGATGCCATGAGAGTTCTCTCCGCCCCCATGTCTTGAAGCGCTCAAGATACAGCGATCCATTTTGATAAATAAGGGGGGATCTCTCCTTGTTTTTTGCATTTTTTTTCGGAACCAGGCCCAGGTGATTTATTCCGTAAACTTTTAAGCCCTGGTATTTTGGAGATTTGGGTTCAACTCTCGAGACAACTTCGTATCCCAGCAGCGTCCTCCGGGCGATCTGCGGCAGAAGGTGGACCCAAACCGGTCCTGCAGCGTGGAAAGTGTGGAAAGTGTGGAAAGTGTGGAATCATGAATTTACGCCTACAACGAATCCTGGCAAGTTCAAATCCACCATTCTCAAAGGGAAAAAACAATTTCAGGATGTCATTGAATTATCTTTCAAGTGTCATTGTCCGCTTCTATGGCCCTGTTTCGGGTGCAACTCCGAGATGAACCAAAGAAATTGAGCATCATATCCTGGTGCAAATGCTCTGGATTCGGGTTGATAAGTTATGGCTTACCTCGACTGTAGATACCCTGGAAAACATTGCATTTTGAGCTGCTTGGTTTATTTCCTTGATCAAAGAAACAAGGGTTTACCCATAAATATAAATCTGTGGATAACATTTCAGCCACAAAAACTCCACTCCCACTGCCTGACGGACTCAATGAAGGCGTGCAACGACATGATCCTTTCCTGCACGGCTGAGATCTGCCAGAGAGCCCATCAGCAGACTTTTAGCTGGTCGAAACAGGAACCCATGGACTTATTCCACACTGTGAGGAAAAAACAGCTGATACTTGAGATCTGAGCTTTAAAAGAGACACAAGAATATAGAAGGAGTATGCATCGTATGCTTGAGAATCTTTAGAAGGATAAGGAACTATGCCATCTCACCGAATCTTACCAAATCTTACCTCACAAAAAACGTCGAAAATCGTCGACCACGGTGAAGGCACCCACTTCAACAACGATCCTCCACGAAAGATCGGAGGAATCCGGTGAACTTTTCCTCCCATCTTCGCGCACAATTCACCAGGGTCACCTCTCAAGTTGCAGGAGGTGACCACAAGCAGAAGATATTGGAAATTGCAGACTTTGCAAGTCTTTAGGAGATTCCAATGTGAAGACATTGGAAGAATGGGGCATGTTGCTTTTGTCAAAAAAGAATGTGAGGAAAAATCACCGAAAGACCATTGAATTTGTCCCATCAACAAAACTCAAACCAATCCAATTCAATGAATCCGTTGTCAGTGTCCGCTCCCCGCGGTCTCAGTTTTCACCAGCCTTTACGGGCTGAGCATCGATCTTCAACCAATGAATATCCGTCGGCGTTTTCTTCATTGAGAGCTCCTGAGATTGTGTTTTTTGACCGACCTAACAGCGGTGTGCTTTGATGGGCCCCAAAGATGTTCATGTTCTTTTTCGCCTGGTTTGTGGACAACAAATACTGGCTCCAGTAACTCCCAGAATAAGCATATATTGTACGTACAGTATTTGTATGTTCACTCCACCCAACTTGGGGCAGGTTGCCTCTCTTGCTTGTTTCCAAGATATAAAACAAGACAAGTGTTTTGGTCTGGAGTCATACAAGTTTCTTCTGCTTACCAGAATTTCACATCTTGACATCTACTTGACATCTACTTGACATCTACGTCCACTACGTCCTGCTTGAGGTATTCGAAGCGTGCGACTTCTTTCTCGAAACGCTCCAAGGATGGGATGGGAGGTCCCAAATCCACCTCCGAAATCCCACTGACAGCAGGAAGGCAGCAGGAAGATTAGGTCAATGGCACCATATGGCACCTAATGGCACCTCAAAGCCTTAGATGGGCACCAATCCAACATATTCATAGAATAAAAATAGAATGCATAGAATGCATAGAATGTGGATTATGAATACTAGTATATATATATATATATAAATATATACAGTATGTATATATATATATTATATATAATATTTATATATATTATTTATATTATGAAATGGTGGAATTGAGTGCGTTGAGACAAAGAAAGGCAGCCTGGATAAATTCTGGAAGAGAACGCTATTTCTTTTGATGTGTTTGGATGACAACATAGTCATACAGTCATATGAGTCATACATATTCCATCAATTTCCATCAGTTTCCATCAATTTCCATGATATTCCCCATATCTTAATCTTTCTCCATCTTTCGAAGCGCAACTTCACTTCACCCACGTTCCGGCCGACCCGAATTGACCTGAACGGCGCACTCCGCGCCTTGATGCGCGTCATGATCTCTCGGAAAGTCATGCCACCCTCCTGGAAGTTCACCAACTCCTCGACTTTGTATCACAGCTGGTGATGGAACTTTGTACAGAAAATCTGTGTGAAAAAGATGGAAACTGTTTGACAGATACATCAGATACATGGGTCAGAGTCAAAGTGTCATCTCAAGATATTTCAAAGTCATGTCAAAGTCATCTTCAAGGAAACAAGTGTGGATAAGCTCATAGTCAGCTCCTGAGGTTTGTCCTGCAAGAACCGGTCGAAAGTCTTTTCGACCTTGGCAAAATGAGTAAGACATTGAGAACATCTGTTAGAAAAAATGTGACCCCGAGTGTTTCTTCAACTTTCCCAGACATGTCCTAGCTTCAAGGACCATATCTCAAAGCATCTGGTATTTTTCATTGAGACTAGAAAAACCTAAAAACAAACTGCTGACACATAATGCTTTTACACCTGCTGACCATTGACCATCCTGTGAAATTTGAGACCATTTGAGACCAGAGGACGCTCTCCGTCCACAGGAAGGCATGAAAGAGGAAATTCTCGCGATACTCGATGCACTTGGCTTCCGTATTGTCGATCCTCGGATCATCTCGGATCATCTCGGATCTGTCAGATTGGTGTGAAACAGGTGTGAAACAGCGTGAACTTCTGAACACAGTCAGTCTGAAAAACTGTACTGAGATGGGTGAAATTGGGTGAAATGGATCAAATGGCTCAGCATCACTGACCAATTGTTTGTCAGGCCCCGTTTTCTTTTTTACGATGCTGCCAAGAATCAACTCAGACACCAGAGACAGCAGACATTGCATCTGAAAGTGCTCCTCGCCACACGCAGAGTTGTAGATGGTTTGGAACTCAAACTGGCATTTTCCGGACATGGAAAGCAGACAGCTCTGGAAATGTCCGGAAGCTACCATGCAGGGTGTCCAGAGTTGTCCAGAGTTGTCCATCTGGATTTCCAACACCCAGACACATGAGGTCAAGAGCAGCATGAACATGAACTGAATATCAGACATATTAGAAATATGATTGATATGATGAAGAAAAATGAAATGGTGGCTTTGAACATCTTTGAACCCCAAAATGGAAACGCGCTCCTTGATCTCGTTCAAATAGTCTCCCACGTTGGAATCCAATCGAACCTGGTATGTAAAGCCCGTCCAAATTTGGAAATTGACAAGGCCGTTTCTGCAGAGTTGCAACATGCTGATGGTCTGCCCCTGAAAGCGTCATTTTGGCGATGGTCAGATGACAAACAGTACGGGAATATCAAGGATCTATACACTGCGCAGGAGAAAAGGGAGAAAAGCCGAGGCAACTGACATCTTTGCAGGATCATTTATGTATATTTATGTTATTTCCCGGGGTACATGATCTACACATTTTGCGGGTTTCACTTTCACATATTATCGGTGAAAAGATGTACTATATAGAAACTTGCGATCATATCACTTCCTGCCGGCACTGCTGGCTTTCCTCCTGAAACAATTCAAACTGTGCTTCCTGTGTAAGCGGTGCCAATCATGCCAATTGTGGGGCAATAGAACGCATGGAGGTCTCACAGAGTGTCTCTTTGTACAACCATGTCGAAACAAATCTGCCTCAAGATACAAACTGGGAGTGAGATGCACTGGGTCTATCCTCAATAGAGTGCTTACTGTCAGATATTCTTCTTGACTTTGGAGATCCCGTCCATGTGTCAAAGGTACCATAAACCACACTGTTTCAAACATTCTTCGCAAGGCACGAATCTTCCTTGACAACTGGAACGCCACTGCTGGCATTTGCAACAGAATTGCTACCTAAAAGAGTAGCGTCACGTTCCTGGTTCAAATCACTTCCTGCTGCCGAACGGGGCTCACCGATGCTGGTAGCTGAAAGGTCACTCTGAGCACCTTCCGATTGGTCGGAATGGTCACTCTCGCCGCCTCCGGTCGCAGTGGAAATGTCACTGAAGATTGAAATCGCGTCATTCTCGCTGTCATCGGACTCACTCATGAACCCGCCACCTTCATTGACAGCTGGAGCATTGACGCGGTTTGCCACCAATGGTGCCACCAATGGTGCCTGCATCTCAAGAAGGCCATAATTGTCTGAGAGCCTCCTCGACGGAATGTCCAAGCCCAGGACGTGAACCATCCTCAAACTCGACATCGTTAACGCCCACGGGGCCCTGAAATCGAGAGACGAGCAATCTGATCCACTCCTAAGTCTAAGTCCCGCCAGATTCTGTTAGTTTGAAGCCGAAAGTTGCGAAAGAACGGATGGAAAACAACCAAACATGATACTGTTCGAGTTGCTCCAATGAGAGCATACCTAAAGCAAAAGTGCATTGATTTGACAGGGGACAAAGATCAGTCTGTAATTCATGTAGATATTGCATGATAATCAATGATGAATCAATTCATGGACTAAATTCTCGGACTCCCTAGCATGTAAACTATATATCAAATAATATATATATACATCACCTGATATCAGGCAACCGATCACTCATCCCCAGTCGACATCAACGACAGGCAGTGTCGCACCATGACGGTGGCCATGGCAAAGAAGTCTTTCAACCAACTGTCGATGGTGCTTCTGAGCGTTGTCCGGCTGGGATTATCTTCGTCCTGCCAAAGAATATGCAGCATGTCCAACCAGTGAACCGATCAAGCAGGTGATTTCATAGTCAGCTTGCAGTCAAGATCCAATCAACAATGTGGTGGACTCTCTATGATAAGTCCTTTTCTTGCGGGGTTTACCACATGATGTATCAATTTGCATGTTGAGATTGGTGTGATTTCACCAAGCCATGATCAATCGCATCAAAAACCCCTCCTCGAACGGTGGATCGAAAACGATCTCAGTGCCTTGTAGTTCAATCTTCACATCCTCAGCTGTGACCGCCACCATGGGGGAAATCTTGGAGAATGAGTAAACCCGAGGGAAAGAAATTTACATCCGTTGGATGAATTCTTCATTTAATCTTCATCCACCAAGACTAATGAAATTAGTTCTATAATTCTGCCCCCAACTTTTCGGCTGAGCTTCGAAGAGGGGCAACATTTCGTGTCGGGCGATGATCAGCGGATCCAAGATCTCGCAGAGATATTGCAGCGACACGGCGATGGTGGACACGAAGCCCTCGATGACTACGTTGTTCACAAAGTCCACGTAGGCCTTCACCATCTTGACACAAAAAACATCAAAAAAAAACAGCTTAGGGTGATCGTGTTGCTGGATGTTGCTGGGGCTTAAGCCCCGAAAGGTAAAACACTAGCAATATGGGTAGTTCGCACGTTCTGGTGGCAACTGGAAGGGGTCCATCTTTGCAAAGTCTAAAAAATTGAACTCATGACTTCTATGACTTCCCCAAAGCGGGAGTACCCCATTTGCAGCGCCTTCCATGTCGCTGCTGTCTTCGAGATCTTCAAGGACTCACTGGAATCCTTCACGAAACCTGCCACAGTCTCGTGTTGAGACCACCATCGGAGCGGCTTTTGAGTGTGGCAATAGTCAACATGCTGATCCAAATTTCACAATGGTCAACATCTCTGACATTTGAAGGTCAAATCCTACAACGTTGTCACAGCTTCGCATAGATCGCATCCGTAGCATCACATCCAATCCCATCTGCCATCCACTTCCAAGTCAAAGTGACGGTGAATCTCCTTTCCACCATCCTTGGCTGCTGGCTGTGAGATGCTGAGAATTTGCCTGAAAAATCGATCAAGATTACTCTCACAGACTTCGCCCAGGCGTTGCAAGCGAGCTGCGGTCATGTTCATCAAGCGAACTCCCACCCGGGCTTTGTGATTCTGCTCGAACTCCTGAGATGATTGAGATTCGGTGATTTAATTGACAAAAAGTGTGTCAGCATTTTGATCTGATGTGCCTGTCTCCTTTTTTTTTGTGACGAACAATTTTGAAACCACCAACACCGCAGCCGTTTCATCAACGCTTGGCCCTGTTCACTGCCTCTACGGACACCGGTTTGGCTCCACGCTTGCGTTCCAACCTCAGATGCGGTGGGGGGAGAGCCATATGGGGATCCATGCGCCACCCGATTTTGTGCTGGGTAAACCACCAGGTTTTTTTGGTTTCCAAGCCATGGTTGATCATTTTGGTGGATTAACCCTGATATACCCTGATTAAGCGTTTGACTATTACACTCTCAGCTTCAAAAACGGATAGGACTAGCATGGCACTCTGCCCAAACATCGCATTTGCTGCCATGAGACATAGAGTCCTTGCACCATCCAGAGAGGATGTTGCTGATCTTTCGCAAGTTGCCCTGCGAGA